TTGTAAACAGTGGTGCTCGTGCATCTACTCAACATTCTTATAGATTGTGGTTGCCAGAATGTTGAGTAGATGCACGAGCACCACTGTTTACAACACAGCTTCATCACTCAGGATCTCTAACCACCGGTCACCATGATCTCCGGGTCCCCATCCAGGGAGCCTAACAGGACCGATGTAATCCAGTGTCCTGGTTGGAATTTCCATACCCTCATGTCAGGCCTTAGCTTGACAACCCTTGGCTTTATTGCACCCACTAATTGCCTCGGCAAATATCGCTCGCCGTGGCAACCTATCTGGTGACATGCGTAACACATGATCCAACCAACGTAATCTACAGAAGTCAACCACTTGCTATAATGGGCACTGCAAATCTCAGCATTGCCTGTTCAGTTACCTCGCTAGATTCGTGCAGTGCGACGTAGACAGCGATGTTCAACCATTGGTAGTCCATTTTGGTCCTGTTTTCTGAATAGTTAAATCTGTGCGCCGCATAGCAGAACTGGCAGAACTGCCGAGGCATACATTTGACCCTTCACGATCAGCCGGATGTCGCGAGGATTTTGGGTATCGGTTTTTCGGCCCTTAACAGCGCAGCCACAAATATTCGAAGATGAAACCGAACCGTGACAACAAACCGTTTCAATCAAGCGATCAGTCCTACCAATACGACGCTATAGATACGTCGGGTGATGAAAGTATCGGTGTTATAATTCCACAAGGCGGTGCTCGGTCGAGGGTAATTGTTTATTGTGGATTACAGATGGGACATCACTAATAAGATCAACGGGTACTGAATGTAGCAATCGATCACCAACTGTTCTCTACACTACTCACAAAGGTGAGTAGTATCTCACAACATTGTCAAAACATATATGATACCTCATGTCCGGTTATTTGTGTTTATATTTATGTAACTGAGTTTACGTGACTCAAAAGGTACGTGTTGCACTTTTCCCATGCAATTATAAATATGTGCGGACCAATGAAGATTGCTGCCGATGGCGACACTCAGTTATTTCCGTGAGGTTATTCCGGCT